TTAACATAATTAATCAGTTAATTTATCAGTCTGAGCATAGTCAGTAGTAATTGTTTATATTATTTTTCAGTTTGATCAGGCATCAGCACTACCTGCATTTTCAGCAGTTCAGGTGGGGAATCAGACTAAGTACTACATTGATTATAATTACGGTACCATGTTTGAGGGATGTATTTCATGTCATGTATCCGCTCAAAATGGTCGTCGGTCCATTCTGGGTTCTAGTGGCCTTAGTCTGCCCACTAGAGTGTGCACATGGTGTCCGGCTTTGCCGGCAGATGAGGTAACGGTCATGGTTCACGTTCACGTGATGATATCAGATTCATGTTCATGTTATTACCGGTTTCATGTTCAGGTTATGTATATATACCAGGATCATGATATTGTTATTATACTCACTGTTTACATTAGTATGAGTTTCTGCAGAGCACAGTGTTTTTGTGCTCACGCCCCCACGTATTTCATGTTTTTCAGGTCACAGAGTCGGGGATGAGAAGTGAGCTGACGGGCAGTTCAGGATATTTGTGGATATGTATATATGTTTTGGCCACGCTGTTATTCCGCTAAAACTTTCAGTACTTAAACTCCGTTTTTGATCCGACTTTAGTCGGTTAATACTATATATAACCGTTTTTATTATCAGTTTAAAGTTAACGGTTTTTTTCAGAAAAGTCAGATTTTCACGGTAGCACCCTGAATCAGCTTTTGCAAAATAAATATTTTATTTATTTATTTAGAAAAATTGCAAAAAATGCGTACTCTGATTTCAGTAAAAAAAAAGTTGGGGTGTTACAACTCTAAGAGCATTTGGGACTCGATGAAGAAGAAATATGAAGGTTCGGCTAGAGTGAAGTGTACACAGCTTCAGGCTTTAAGAAGAAACTTTGAAATGTTGAATATAAAGGATGGAGAATCAGTCACCAGTTACTGTGCAAGAACCATGGAGATCAGCAACAAGATGAGATTACAGGGAGAGAAGATGAATGATGTCACCATTGTGGAGAAAATCAACATTTCAAAGTCTCTTCTTAAAGCCTGAAGCTGTGCACGCGTCACTCTAGTCGAACCTTCATATTTCTTCTTCATCGAGTCTCAAATGCTCTTAGAGGTATCTTTACAAAGAATAGTTTTTAAGATGGGACGATCAATAGCTTGGAAGAGATAATTTTTTGCCTTCAAGTCCTTCAGCTTTCTAGCCTCCAAAAATTATCTATTCCAAGCTATTGATCGTCCCATCTTAGAAACTATTCTTTGTAAAAATACCTCTAAGAGCATTTGGGACTCAATGAAGAAGAAATATGAAGGTTCGGCTAGAGTGAAGCGTGCACAGCTTCAGGCTTTAAGAAGAGACTTTGAAATGTTGAATATGAAGAATGGAGAATCAGTCACCAGTTATTGTGCAAGAACCATGGAGATCAGCAACAAGATGAGATTCCAGAGAGAAAAGATGAATGATTTCACCATTGTGGAGAAAATCCTGCGCTCGTTATCGCCAAAGTTCAACTATGTTTTTTGTTCGATTGAAGAGTCGAAAGACATAGATGAACTTACTCTTGATGAACTTCAGAGCTCTCTCATAGTTCATGAACAGAAGATGAATAACAATAATTCAACTATGGAGGAACAAGCGTTGAAAGCCTCTACTACTACTTATTCCAATGAGGGAGGAAGAGGACGAGGCAGAGGAAGGGGAAGGGGAAGAGACCAACAATTTGATAAATCAAAGGTAGAGTGTTTCCGCTGTCACAAATTTGGTCACTATCAATTTGAGTGTTACACTAAGTTGCTTAACAAGAAGGATCAAGGAGAGCAGACAAATTTTGTGGAGGAACATGAAGTAGAGACTTTGCTTATGGCAGTTCATGAACCAAAACTTCAGGAGGAGTCAGACTTTTGGTATGTGGATACATGCTGCAGCAATCACATGTGTAAAAGTAAGTCTTCCTTTTGTTACTTAAATGAAGACTTTAATTCTATTGTAAGTTTTGGAGATTCTTCTACTGTCAAAGTAATGGGGAAAGGGGATATTAAGATTAAAACCAAGAATGGTTTCACAGAGATTATCTCAAATGTTCTTTATGTTCCTAACTTACAAAGCAATTTGTTGAGTGTTGGTCAGTTGCAAGAAAAGGGTTATATAATTACCATCAAGAATGGTGCGTGTGAGATATATGATCCTTCAAGAGGTGCCATTGCTGTTATCTAAATGAGCTCAAACAGGTTGTTTCCTATGAAGATTGAATGTGCTCAGACTTGTTTTATGGCTGAACTGAAGGATTCTTCATGGCTTTGGCATTTTAGATATGGTCATTTGAGTTTCGGAGGACTACAAATATTATATCAGAAAAATATGGTGAGTGGCCTTCCTCAGATTGCAACTCCATCTCAAGTGTGTGAAGAATGTGCTGTCAGCAAGCAACATCGTTTTTCATTTGCCAAGGGTAAATCATGGAGAGTAAAGAGTATCCTGGAGCTGGTGCATTCAGACATATGTGGCCCTATAAACCCAATATCTAATGGAGGTAAAAGATACCTAATCACCTTCATTGATGATTATTCTAGGAAGGTTTGGGTTTATTTTTTACAAGAGAAATCAGAAGCTCTATCTACCTTCAAAAGTTTCAAAGCTCAGGTTGAAAATGAAGTAGGAAAATCAATTCAAACTCTTCGTACAGATCGTGGAGGTGAATATTGCTCGAATGAGTTTGAATCCTTTTGTGCAAATCATGGGATCAGAAGAGAGCTTACAACAGCCTATACACCACATCAAAATGGTGAGTCGGAGAGGAAAAATAGGACCATTCTCAACATGGTAAGAAGTTTGTTGGCTAGGAAAAGTGTTCCAAAAACTTTCTGGCCTGAAGCTGTGAATTGGAGCATTCATATTTTGAATAGAAGTCCTACCTTTGTTGTTAAAAAATATGACTCCAGAGGAGGCTTGGAGTGGAAGAAAACCAGCTGTGGATCATTTCAAGATTTTTGGATGCATTGCATTTGCTCATGTCCCAGATGTGAAAAGAAAGAAACTTGATGACAAGGCTGAAAAATGAATTTTTCTTGGCATAAGTGAAGCATCCAAAGCTTATAAATTATTCAACCCTCTAACACAAAAAATTGTAATGAGCAGGGATGTAGTGTTTGATGAGGAAAACAACTGGGATTGGAACAACAGGCAGCAGCCGGACAGAGTTCGATATGATAATGAGCCTGAACAAGAGCCTGTAGCGCCTTGTTTGCATGAAAATTCAAAAACTCAAGCTGAAATTATTACAGAAGAAGTTGAACCTCTTCGTCGGGTTAGAAGACAGCCAGGATGGACGAAAAGTTATGAGATAAGTGGAATTCCAGATCCCATTACTTACTTTGCTTTGTTCTCGGATTGTGACCCTACAACTTTTGAGCTTGCTGTTAAGGAAGAAAAGTGGAGAAAAACTATGGATGATGAAATTCATTCCATTAAAAGAAATGATACATGGGACTTATGTGATCTTCCTAAAGGGCAGAATACTATTGGAGTAAAATGGGTCTTCAAAACAAAGCTGAATGAAAATGGCGAAGTCGATAAGTATAAGGCTCGCTTGGTGGCGAAGGGATACAAGCAACAATATGGGATTGATTATACAAAAGTTTTTTCTCCTGTTGCAAAACATGACACCGTTAGGTTGGTTATGGCCTTGGTTGCTCAGAACTCATGGCCTATTTTCCAGTTGGATGTCAAATCAGCCTTCTTGCATGGACATTTGGACGAAGAGGTATATGTGAACAACCTCTAGGTTATGTTAACGTTGGAGATGAGCATAAAGTTTACAAATTGAAAAAGGCTCTTTATGGACTGAAACAAGCTCCACGAGCTTGGTACATTCGCATTGAGTCTTATTTTCTTAAAGCTGGTTTTTCCAAATGTCCGTATGAGCATTCACTCTTTGTTAAGATCAGTGATAATGGAAAAATAATGATTGTTTGTTTATACGTTCACGATCTCATATTTACTGGAAGTTGTGCTGTTATGTTTGAAGAATTTAAAAACTCTATGATGAATGAGTTTGAGATGACTGATCTTGGTATGATGCATTACTTTCTTGGGATTAAAGTGGTGCAGTCACATGATGAAATTTTCTTGTGTCAAAAGAAGTACGTTGGAGAAGTTTTGGACAAGTTTCAGATGAAGGATTGTAATCCTGCAACCACCCCAGCTGATACTAGTTTGAAGCTACGACAAAGATCCTGAAGGAAAAAAAAAATGACAGCACTTTTTACAAACAAATTGTTGGCAGTTTGATGTATCTTACTGCTACAAGGCCTGATATTATGTATTCTGTGAGTTTAATCAGTATATATATGGAGAATCCCCCAGAATTGCATTTGTTAGCTGCAAAACGAATCCTTTGTTACTTGCAGGGAACTAGAGATTTTGGCCTGAAGTTCAAGAAGAGTAAGCAATCAGTTTTGCTGGGGTATACTGATAATGATTATGCTGGAAATCAAGATGATCGAAAGAGTACTTCAGGCTACATATTTATGCTTGGAACAACAGCAATTTCTTGGTCATCTAAGAAGTAACCAATTGTACTCATTTTGTCTAGTACAGAGGCTGAGTTTGTTGCCGCAACAAGCTGTGCTTGTCAAGCTATTTGGCTAAGAAGAATACTTGAAGAGTTAGGCTCGATGCAAGCAGAAGCTACTGCAATATTTTGTGACAACAATTCAGCAATCAAACTTTCAAGAAATCATGTTCTTCATGGAAGGAGCAAGCATATTGATGTGAAGGTTTACTTTCTAAGAGATCTTAGTAATGATGGACTTGTTGATTTGAGATTTTGCAGGAGTGATCGACAGTTGGCTGACATATTGACAAAACCTCTCAAGCTTTCCTCCTTCAAGAACTTAAGAAAGCTCTCGGGGGTTTGCACCATTGAAAA